GTGTCCCCCAGAGGACTCCTGGCATTGGAGACATGCTATTGGCCTCTAGTAGGCAAGTTAGGGAGGCTGCTAAACATTCTGCAATACAAAGGACAGCCCCCTGCAACAAAGAATTATCTAGCCGCAAATGTCAAGAGTGCCAAAGTTGAGAAACCCTAACTAACTGAACTGGTCCAGGCAGGCACTTCTACTTGAGAATATTCCTGGTGAAAAAATGAAAAACAAAAAAACAAAACAAAACCCTAATAACCTAATGTTAGTATCAATAAAATCATGACTCTAAGAAACAGGAAAATGGGTAGGAAATTTGAATTAGTGCAATCTGAAGATCAGGATAGGAATCTTGGCTTTACTCCTTCAGCTGTGTGAATACTGGGTAAGTTATTTAGCCCCTCACAGCCTCAAATGTAATCTGAATATGGCTATGGTGGTAATAATACCAAACTTGGTCCCTCTCACAGGACAGAGTGATGCTCAAATGTAGTAATGCATATGAAGGCACTTTGAGCGTCACTAAGCACTATAACAATGTTTGTGCTTTCAATACTTACAAAGACAAGATTCTGTGGAATTTGACATATTCAAATATGAAGAGTTTTCTAATCTACTGTCCTAGAAGAAGAACCACTTCAACATCCTTTTGAACCTCTTCTACATCTTTCATGTTCTGAGCTGGGTGGTCAGACATTTAAGCTCAGGTCATCAGGGGGCATTTTACTGACTGGAATAGGGGAATCCAATCAAGAGCCCTTCCAATGAGTTGGCATGTAATATCAAGAAAAAAAGAAAAGCAATGGATACTCTGGTCTCAGCACCATCTGCAGTGGGAAAAGAGAAAGTCCTATACATCAGAGCTGCTTCTCAGGCTTCAGTTTCCAGGAAGCCTGTCTCTGACCTAAAAGGCCTCTTACTGCATGCACCCTGCTCAGGGTTCTAGTGGCCCCAGTGACATAACCAGCCACCCAGGCATGGCAGAGAAGATCTTTAACAATCCCAGTCAGCTCAGCCTCCCAGGTTGCCTGGAGCTGGGGCTAAAATTAATCCCTCACGCTTAACTCACCTTTCACCTCCCCTCTCTTGTCCCCACTACTGCATTGTGTCAAGACAGTAATCAGAGGCTTTATAAGGAACATTTGTCAGCACCTGGATGCCAGCTCTGGGCTGATTCTTCTTTTATTTCCCTCTCCTGTTCCTTAGCCTTTCTATTTTCAGGTTCAAAGAAAGAAGTTGCTTTTGAGTTCTATCCTGAGAATTAAGTGATATCAGATCCCAATGGCTATAGAACGACTTTCATTTTGGATCCTTCCTGATTCACAAAGAGTCAATACCGCATGCCCTGGACCCAGCTGGTTTCTAAATATTTCACAGTGGGATGTTTCAGTAGAGCCACATAAAATCCTATGAATGTCCATGAGAAGATTTTGGAGTTGACCCATTCATCGTGATACACAGGGACCTGTTGGGCAGGAACACTTCCTGAGAGCATGCCCTCAAAATGAGATAACTTATGTGAATATGCTGTAGGAGCTCTTCCATATTTCTTTACTGTTTAGACATTAGCAAGAGACAAGTAGCACAACTAAAGTCCTTTTGATGGTTTCTATACTTATCACAGTGAATGAAATAGGATAGCTTGGGAAAAGAATACATCACTTTTGTAGAAATTGTGTCAAGCTTGCCTGACCAGATGTCTTTTGTTCCTGGATGCCCAGATACAGGGTGTATTTTAATCTCACGGTTTAATATAAATTAAACCTTGCCAGATTGCTCTAAGGATGCTTTAAATTTAGTTAAGAGGATCCTTTCAGTAGCAGAGGGAGAGAAAGAAGATATCCAAAAATCAAAAGGTGACCACTCCTACGGAATCGAGCGGAACATAAGACTAGAATGTTTCAAAGGTAAAATGTTTCCAGGGTAAAATAAACATTTACCCTTTAAAAAAATTAAAAATAGTTTTGGACTTTCTAACGCCATTTTCCAATCTAGGCAATGAAGTATGATGGTCACTCCTTCAAATACTCAGTCTTCCTTCAACTGCTTCATGGAAGCATATTGTCCCTGTTGTCAGGAGGACAGCTTGGACTCATTACAAATGAGTCTTTCAACACAGCTCAAGAAACCTTTTCTTTTCAAAAGGATCTTTGACTCCACATCTTACAATAACCACCTCTGCGTGGTGATTGGTACTGACCTATGTAATAGGACACTTAAAAAAAAAAGAATAAATTTAAGATGACACAAGAAGAGAGATGCTCATTTCTATCCATGCATTTTTCAAAATATTCCCCAATTTTTGTGGGAGCAATAGTGGAAATTGTGCCCAGTTAAGAATGGGAGAATATGGTCTTTCACATTTACTGTGTGACTTTAGGAAAGACACAGCATCTCCCTGAGATGGGAAGAGTGGGTTGTTTAATAGTCAGTGAAGTGATCTGTTTGAGTGAATACGTAACAGTCAAAAAAAATGCTACCCAAATGGTTGATCATTCTCATAGCTAACATTCATTGAGTACTGAATTAAGTAACAGAGTATTAGGTCGAACATTTTACATGTATTCAACTCAATCTTCATGTTAGCCCTGGAAAGTATTACCATAATCCCATTTTATAGACTAGTTAACAGAGGTTGGGAGGTTAAATAACTTGCCCAAGGTTACTGGTAGGAAGCTGGATCCACAAATAGGAAAAATACACACTTAGAGAACCAAACAAAATAGTAAAAAATGAGAATGTGGGGAGAAAGAATGTATTTTTAAAGCATAACGTGACAGAGAAGAAAAATCATATGTGTTAGAAATTCTTACACACTTACTTTATGGTACAGTGTTGTTGTATTTTGAATTACATGTGGGGAGAGGCACTAAGTATTTCAGTGCTTATGGCATTTCAAAATCTTAATCTAGCCTGCCTTAGACTAACAGCTGACCAACTCCAGCCACTTGACTCCAAAGCCCATACTTATAACTGCCATACTGTATCATGCTCTGTAATAATAATACTTATTATTACTAAATAACAGTTACCAAGGATTACTAGTAACAATTGTTTTCAGTGGTAAGCAATGACATTAAAGAAAGGTTTATTCTGTTTTGAAAACATAGTAAGCAACCCATAATTTGGAACTAAAGACACAAAGAGATAGGCACACAGCAAGGGTCACTGGTTTTCTTACATATCTGTGGTTATGAAATGGCCATTAAAGAGTGTTCAGCAAACTTCTGGGTTCTATACTGGCTCAGGGAAAGTGGCTAATATAAATTTAGAAATCTTTGAAATTCCTAATAGAAACACAACAAATCCTACAGCACTACCAGTGGGGCCAATGATAACATGCATGGAGAAAGAGCGATGTTTCCATTGAGCAAATGAGCAGCTTTTAAGATCTCAGGCTATTTTGATTCCCCTGACCACCCATCCCCCAGAGTTTGACCACAAAACATTTAAAAATAAGGTCTCTTAGTGTCTAGCAAATTTGGATGATGATAAGAATTCATAGTACCTGCTAATACTTCTGGCTCTCTTCAAAGGCTCAAAGATAAATGCATGAGGTCATTTTTGTGCCTTAATCTAACAAGTGCTAAGGGTATGACAAGAGACTCCCAGTAAAGGCTGAGCTGGCTATTGTACGGAGACTGACATGGAAGATAAATGGGTCGGTGAGGCTTTTTATTTCAATAACTTGGGAGTCTTGTATGCTGTTTGTAGATGCTCTCATGATTCTTAAAACATAGGAAGACTCTGGCTATGGGATGGGAAACAGTAGCACAATTACTTCTGATTGGTTTTTTAAAGAAAATGAATCCTGAATTGGGCATGAAAACAATCACAGCCCTCAAATCATTCAAAATTCTTGGGCCACAAATAGGTAAATTTACTTGATGCATATCTGCAAAGTGTGATAATTATTAGCTCTGAAGCTCTTAAACTTCTGGAAGTGTGTTTTGGGTTTCCTTCCTCTGTGCTCACTCCACTAATTGACAGGATGGCAGTGAGAGAATTATGGGGTAGAGTTTGAAGTGTAGGAGACAGAGTAAAACATAGATAGCATCATGCCCACACTAGTGAAAAATTCAGTATTCTGAGCTATTCTCTTGCATCCAGGTGATGATACAATTGTGGAACAAAGGCCCTTCGCCACAGTATTTTCCCTTCTACTCCTGGAACTTTTACGATCAGAATTGAGGGCCCTTTTCCTGGGAGAAGTGAGAGATGAGAGGGAAAGCTAATGGATCATTTGAATGATCTCTTTAAAAGAAAGCGACCTTTCCTCCCTTTGCCCTTGATTTGGCCATCTGGCTCTGGGAGTTTGTTGGCAAATGTTCCTTGACCATAAAATTTAAACACATGATTAACCCCTCTCCCTCCCACACCAGTATGCTTGCTGTTAAAATGCCTACTAGGACCACTCTCTGAATTATCAAGGAAGGTTTAGTGTAAATGAAAGAAAAAATTGGCCAAGTCAACCAGATGAATGAAACTCCACTCTCAGTTTTTCTCTCATTATTACCCTGACTTGATGGTCATCATTCTAAGTTTAGTAAACTTCATTTTACAGTGTTTATGAAATCTCTGACCATCTGTATCTTCAACTTCATCTGACTAAATGCCACCACAGAGTCCAGATCTCAAACTGATTATCCTGTGATTATCAACAATAGCTCCTGATAGAGAAGGCACCCCTTCCCTCCATTGGTCATCATTCGCAATGCCCTGGAAAACCTACAGTAATCATCTTTAGTATGAGCCAGTCAGGCAGTATTCCTCAGGTTAACCTACAGTGTTCAGTGCACAGTTAGTAAGTCTCCAGAAGCTCCCTACACTGAACCAAGCCCTACAGGAATACCTTATCTTCTCATACAAAAACAAACAAACAAACACACATGAATGTGTGCTTAATATCCAGTGTTTCATGATTTGGTGAGAGTTAGGAGAAATCAACACTTAGAGTAAGAATGGGAGAGCAAAAGATGGTATGTGGTCATTGACAGTAAAGCATGTACCTGTGGGATAATGCTCATTCACTGGCCAGTTGTCCACCTGAAGTGTGGCATTGCCGCCGTTCCTGGTGAAGCGCACCACGTGGTATTTACCATCATTTACAGGGGTTCTCTCCTCTTTGATGGAGATGTCAACTGTGCCAATATTGAAGACAACTCCAATTTTCCCCTGTTCCTGTGATAAAGAAACACAAAAGGCATAGTTATCACCAACCATAAGGTTTTCTCCCTTTAAAGTTGATCCTCCAACTAACAATAAATCTGTAGGTACCCAGAGGGAGCTGTCAGCATGAAGTTAACAATAGTATCCCACATTTCTCCATGGGCTTTCATCCTGAACATAAAAACCAATGGTATAAAGCCACCCAAATTACTCTCACAGGCTGCACTGTACAGGTTACATCATTTGATTGCTCTCAACAGATATCAAAGCTGGAACCAGAGAACTACCTAACAACTGTGTAGTGACACTGCAAAGTTGATTTCTGTGAGATGAATGAAACCTGTTTTCTAAGAGAGGTAATTAGACAGTGGACTCTAGTTTAGATTAAGGATTAGGGAGGAAATATACGCATGCTTGTGCGTTGTGGGAGGGGATCAAGCCCAAGGGAAAGTGTACATTGAATGGTTAGAAAGCAGTGGCAGAAGGGTTAGCATTATAGGTCAGCACCTGATGATACTTTTTTTTTTAGGTCTAAAACACATAGAACATGTACCCTCAGTAGAGGCCAGTGAAACTGAGCTTGACTTTTCAGGGTCAGGTGACTGAAACTCTTTCCACACTTGCAACCCTATTCCTAAGGTTCATCCAAAGAAGGGTGTCATCTTCAGTCCTATAGTTTTATGCTACATAGCAGAAGAGAACCTCAATGGCCCCCCAAAAAGACTTCTGGTGGGGGGGAACACAATGAATTCCAGAAGAGTGACACTATGGCAATGAACGTGAGGATTATGGTGAAGGTGGAGGAGGCGAACATAAACAATGCGAATAAAACTCCTGCTCTTTCTTCTCCTCCAGTAATTTATAATAACTAAGGGTTGGGATTGGAATTCACAATGAGACACAAAATGGAAGTAACCCTACTGATCACATATTTCAACCTTGTAGAAGGGTATCGTAGCATGTGGGATGTCAGGATGGATGGGCAAGGAGAGAGGGAGACACCTTTTTCCATTTCTCTAGTTGTCTGACCTACTAGCTAAGCAATAGGTTGGACATGCAAGGACAATAAAATTTAGTGGTAACCCTGCCATTGTATTTGTTCACATAGTCTTCATTATTCTATTTCCTTATTCAAGAATTAAAAGGAGAATAAAAAGGAGGAGGTGAAAGAGGAAAGGGGGGAGGAGGAGAATCAGGAAGAAGAGAAGGAGGGGACAAAGGATGAGAAAAAGATATGGGGGGGGGGGGGAAGTCCAGAATCCACATAAACAAGATGTAGGAAAGATTTCACAGAATCTCAGATTTAGTAATTGGGTTCATTCATTAATTCATTACATAAATACATTATTTATTAAGCACTTGGTATGCTTAAAGTCAATAAATTAAGACTTATGCTGAGATTTTAGGCACTGGTTTCCATATAGTTTGGTACACTTCACTTATTTTTTCAAAAGACAGGCTTTCTTCATCTTGCCAATTTTCTTTTAGTATGTGAATACATCTTATTCCTGATAAAAGAATCGACAGGTACCCAGCAGTCTTTTTTAAAATAAAAATTTTTTAATGTTTATTTATTTTTGAGAGGAAGGGAGGGGCAGAAAGAGAGGGAGACACAGTATCTGAGGCAGGCTCCATGCTCTGTGGTGTCAGTACACAGCCTGATGCGGGGCTCAAAATCACCAACTGTGAGATGATGACCTGAGTTGAAGTCAGACACTTAACTGACTGAGCCACCCAGGTGCCCTCCAGGAGTCTTGATTTTAGAAAGTAGGAGCCTAAGCTACGAAAGGCTGCTTTCAGCATGCAGGGATGCTGTGATACAGGGCGGACATCATTATTTCTTTTGTGCCCTGATAGCACAGCTTGCAATGTAAAATGATGTCTGCAATTCCCATGTTCTGTACTCTGAGAAAAGGTGCCTCCTCAAATGGGGACTAAATGCACTTATGAGTTTGCAAATCCCTGTTTATTGTGACACTATGTTCTCTGGGGTTTTTTTTTCTACTTCTACATCTCCAGTACTAAATAAAGTACCTAGCATTACAATGGATAAATGAAACTGATGATAAGGTTTTCTTTTTGCATCTTCCATGCCCATAATTAATAATGCTATGATCCACTTTATTCTTTCTCCTTAATTCTCTAGGAATTCTGAAAAGATAATATGATTTTTCTGCATTCCCCTAAAGCGTTGGCCTTCATTTCTAAGGGGGTTTGTGTGTGTTAGAACCTACTCATCCTTATACCTAAATAAGCAGGGCTATAGTAATCTCAGTCATAACCTGTTTAGCAGAATGAGAGAACTGGAGGAGTTAAGAAACCATGACTGCAGACGCCATTACTCCTCTGCCCACCCCGCAAATGCGGGCTGTTTATTGCACCACAGTTCTTCAATGAGAAACCACTATATAAATCCTGGATACATGGAGAGGACTGCTGGTGATTCAATTCACCTCTGAGTCACTAATTAATCATGGATGGAGAACAGTTTTAGGCAGAGAGAGGAGACCTTTAAACCAGCATTTTGCTGCTTTTCAGCAACAACAGTGGCAAAGTACAGTTCTGGCTGAGTGAGTTGGCTGATCAGCGAGATATATTCTTGGGCAGATTTTCTGCAAGATCCATAATAGATTCAGGGGAAGAAAAGATTTAATCTCTGCCAGAATAAATATTTGGTCCTTATCTGAGGCGCCACACATTTGCCACTGCAATCACTGCTTCGGAGAGATCGTCTTAATCCTGCTAGCTCTACCGCCAATGTCAATGGAGACCCTTATACCCAGATGTTTCATTGTGTTTCCCCACGGTGGTAAATGTGGCTGTGCTAGACCTCAGATGTGGTCTCTTTACTTTCAGTAATAAGATTTCATTACTGCAACCTCCTTGTCATTTGTCATGGGACCACAGTGGCTTTATAATCTGTGGCTAACTGCTTTGTCTCAGTTCATTATAAGTCTTGTGGCAAGTGCCCATACAGTTGCCGATGGTTGAATCCATCACACTCAGCTGCCATGAAGATAAACTCTGCTGGCTCATGTGTCCAGAGAACATTTGAGGGATAAAATCATTGGCTTTGGAAACAGCCCTGACTGACCTTTGGGCAAGTTACTTAATTTTTCTGAACCCATATCTTAATAATGTATTACGGGGACAGGAAACGAGTTTTCCAGGCTTCCTAGGACCGTTATAAGGCTAAAATGATATGATTATAATCATTAATATACCACTTTATAAGAAGGAAAATATCATTCAAATATAAGGGATAAATGAGATCATGAGAAGGAAAAAAATCTAAACATTTGACCACATGCAACACCCTGTGAGCACCAGAGAAATTAACTGGTTCAATAGGATAAACATGGTTTTAGCATAACATGGTTCAAATAATACCTCTCTCTGGTTCTGAAAGCTATATGACCTTGGGCAGGTTATTTAACTTCTAATTTCCCTGCTATAAAGGGATCTGTGGAGGAAGGGAACAGCGAATTGCTACCTTTGAAGCTTTTTGTGAGGATTTTAGGAGAACACACATGTGGGAAATGCTAGCACGTGGCTGTGCATACTTTGAGACTTCAATAAATGTCAGTCATCTTGTCCCTTTCTTTCCCCTCATTAGTATAGTTGAAAGTGGTGGCACGAGCTAAGGACTGGCTAGTTTGGCAAGAGTGTCATCAGAAATATTATCAAAATAAATGTAAATTTTAGCAAACAGAACATCAAAAAATAAAATTTGCACCATTGTTTTCCTGTCACAATTTGGTAGTTGCTCTCTCTTCACATTCCTTGGTGCCTTTTATGAGCTCTTTCAAGACAAGCAAAGAGTAGCTACAAAACAGCATGACTATAAATTTTAATAACTCCACGCCCATCACCACTAAAGTTGCTACCAAAGGCAATCAGTTCAATGTATGTTTTTCCTTGATATTAAAAACACAGACAAGTGGTAAATCAAAAGACATTACCAAAGAATCCTCAAGTGCAATAAAAAAAAAGTCTATTACAGAAAAAAAAAAAAAAAAAAAAAAAAAAAAAAAAAACACAAAACCAAGACTGAACAGCACAAGAAAACAGCTGTCTTTAAATAGCCAGTAAGTCATTCTTCATCAATAATGACTGTTTACGAGCCCACCTGGTTCCTCAAATTAGTCTGGCTCCAGCTTTCTAATCTTCCATCAGCCACATTATAGTTATTGCTGTGAAGGTGACCCATAAGATACTACCAACACCAAGGTCATATTTTAGAAGCCGAGATGCACAGGGGCAAGACAAATCCTCAGGAATAAAGACCTCCCTGAAGGCAGTCTCTTCATTCATTCCAGAGTGCCCCCAGGGAAGGCAGAATGCACCATCACTATTTTAGAAAATTGCAGCTGACAGAAACAGAACTGGAACTCTCAAATGTATGCCCAACAGATGTGCAAAGGAAGTTCTGAATATCTTGACTTCTAGGCTTCCTACAGAATCTGTGAGTTCAGGGCTAGGCAATAATACAGGAAGAACAACAGGTATGTGATCCTCCTTGGGGCCAGACACTGACAGGTCAGGTCTGGCACACCCATTCCAAAGTTTGGGTCACTGTAAATAAATCAGTGGCAGTGTTTATTACATTCTTCTAGTTTCTCCCATTATGGGCTCATAGTAAGAGAGAATTTCTAGTTCCCCTTGGGATATGGAGGGCCAAGAGAACAGTGTTGATGAATAAATTAGGTGTCACTTCCAAGCCACCCATTAAACTGCTGGTGTGAGACCCACCAGAGTTCTCCCATGGTTCTCAACCACTGCATCCAGCAAATTCCTGGCCGTGGCCTCTTTTTCAGCCTGGGCCATTGAGTGAGGATGGCAACAAGCCAACTTGCAATGGACATGGAAAACGAGAAACAAAGCGTGACTGCTTTATGCCACCAAATATTGAATCTGCTTGTTACTGTAGGATCATCCAAACTACTTCAAAGAACAGAGTAGGTGCTTGGCAAGTAGTTTTTAATAGAATAATTTTTGAATTCTCACAATTA